GAACCCTCGGGCGGGAGCGCCGCCGCGCTTCCCAAGCGGCGCACTTATCCAGTGCGCCAACGGGCCGGCCCAAAAATCTTTAATTTTGATGAGATGCTTAGCAGATTTTCATTTGATAGAATGAATCAGAAAATAACTTCCTGAGAAACTTGTCTTTGTTCTCTCTCAACTTTCAAAACTCTACTTCTATTCTCAAGTGAATGCTAGGACAAAGCTGCTCAAACTACTGGTCTATGATAAAATAAGTTGAATCAGAACGTAAATCGCAATGTCACTAAGCACACTGTTTAGTTCAGCTCACTTTTTTTTTGTAATGAGACTTTTTCACAAAAAGAAGTGGTGTGCTGGTTTGAGTGCAAACACCTTATCTCTTCAAGATGGGCAAAAAAACCCAGTTTGCAGGCTGCCAATCTAGACCACACTTGGAGTAGCACTGCACTAGAACAAACATTTGTCAAACAAGTTCCTTGTCAAACAAAAGGAATGCTATACCAAAAAGTCATCATTTCTGAAAAGTCTGCTTCTGCAATTTCAAATACAGTTTTAAAATAATGTCTGGAAAGCGTTCTTTCTGTATTCCTTATAGAGATCTTAGGAATGTTCAATCCACCAAGTGAGTCCATACCTCCCCAAACAGGTCCTTCAGGGCTGAAATAAGCAGTTGTTTGAACTGTGCAGCATTTAGTCCAACTCCATGATCTTGAAATTCTCTGTAAAAACATTAAAAAGGAAGAAGACATTGTATTAAATTTCATGTTATTCAAATTTATTTAAAAAATAATCTAAAGTAGGACTTAGAAGACTGAACTCACAGGCAAACTTTCATGTAGTGGTACTCAGAGGGATTTTTGTAAACTACTCTTTCATATGTGGCATCTGTGGCTGGCATCTTCTCTAATGCTGGTCACACCTACAGTAAGTCAAGAGGAATAGAAATTACCAAGGTACAAGCTATTTTTCACATTTTTAATGAGAATTTAGCCTATTTGATTTTTAAAAGACTTCCTAATACAGTAACTCATCTAATTCTGATTCAAACTAAGTTACCCAGAGAGACACTCATACAAAGGAAGTATCTTTTATATGCCAAACCACTGTACTCTTACTTAAATCCTAATGACATAATACCAGCTAACATTTTCCTTACTGAGCACCCAGCTCTGTGCTGAACATTTAACATACCTTAGCTTCCGTCTTCAAAATGATTCTTTAAAGTAAAAACTATTATTATTCCCATTTTTGAGAAGGACACAGAAGCTTAGTTAAGATAGGTAACACCTGCCCAAGTACACCCAGACATTCCAACCACTCTTAAGTAAGTCACCTTGTAGGTGTAGTCCTGAAGGGGTGATTGGATTGTAGGACCATGCAGTAATGAATGGATTAAAAATGGTGGTCAAGGGTGTGGTTTTGAGGGCTTTAAAAGAAGAGAGCCTCTCTCTCTCTCTCTGTTCTCTGTTTCCACCATCTTACAACGTGAGACCCCTGGGTCACTGTCGCCAACACCAGATAGCCTTTGGACTTCCCAGCCTCAGAAGCTGTAAGCAATAAATTTTGTTTTCGTTATAAATCACCCTCTTACAACGTGAGACCCCTGGGTCACTGTCGCCAACACCAGATAGACTTTGGACTTCCCAGCCTCAGAAGCTGTAAGCAATAAATTTTGTTTTCGTTATAAATCACCCAGTTTTAGATATTTTGTTACAAGCAACAAAAACGAACTAATACACCCCTCAGGACCACTCTGGTATGATGTCTCTTAATCCAAACAAAAAGTAAAAGCATAAAGAAGCAAAATCTGAGATCGGAAGGCCCTCTTCTTGTTTACTCTCAGTCAACACAGAACATGAACAGGAAAATGAGGGGTGATAGTTCTGCTGTCCCCTCTCATCTTGGGTCTGCTTGTTCTCTCAGTCCAGAGGCCAGGTCTTGGACTGAGCTTAAGACTGAGCTTAAACAGTAAGGGATTTGAGAAGAGGAACTCCTGGAACAGGTACTCAATGCCATTTCTAACAGATCTGGAATGTTCAAGAACTTAGAACATGCTGATCCCCCTGTAGAGAAATCCTCTTCTTGGCCCTTTTACCACCTCACTCTCCCCCTGGATAGGTCCTACTCCTCCTTCGAGTTTCAGTTTAAATATCACCTCCTTATCAATATTCAACTCTGCACCCCACAAATATGTATAACCAATTACATTTCACTTAAAAAAAAGTTACTCTTAGAGGAGGCCTTCTGTGACACCCTGCTCTAAATTAAGTTCTCCTTTTATGTCTTAACATTGTCAATTTCTTTAATACCTGGATATCCCACTAAAGGGACCAGGAAACTAAAGCCCAACCAAAGAAAGGGACCCATTCAATGTCACGTAGCTATGGACTAGCATTTCCAAAACCTCTCTGGTCAGGCCCAGTTCCAATCACTCCCAGATGATTATCTCCAGAGAAAAGGAGAAGTTGGGATCAAGGAACTATACCCACCCATTCAACATACATTAATACTTACTGTCTCTGGCACAAATACTTGTTGAATATATAACTGAGAGAATGGTGGTAGTGGTAGGCCTGTACATTCAAGTATCTTTGCTTTCAGGACAGGAGCAATAGTTACCTGGTGCTTCTCCCCTGACTACAAGGACAGGGAGAACAGGAATCTCATCTGTTTCATTCATCGCCTGGTACAAGACAGGTGTTTTTTAAATGTTACTGACTGCCTTGATGGAGCTGGCTGCCTAAAGTAGCGGAATGAGATTAGGCCTTGGGCTTAGAATGCAAATAACAATTAAGACTTAAGGAGTATTGTGGAGATGGTTAGTGGTGATGGTTGCACAACAGTGTGAACGTATTTAATGTCACTTAACTGTACACTGAAAAATAGTTAAAATGATAAATTTTATGTTATGTATATTTTACAATAAAAAAATATGTAAGGAGCAAATGTTTACTGAGCAGTCACCTCTCCAGACTCCACAGGCCTGAGTCCTCAGGACCAGTGTCAGCACTGCCCTCTGCAGGCTATTATGAGATTAAAGATGATGATGCCTGGGAAACCCTCTGTACAGCCTGTTATGTACACCACAAAATGTGAGCGCTCCTGCAGTCAGTCATCAACATGTTTGAAGTCAGCCTTTTTACTGGCTGCAAGGATGCTCATAAATTGATCTATTAGCAATAAGCGTCTGGGCTACCAACCCTACTCCCCTTTTCCAATCTATTCTTTACAGCAGCCAGTGAGCCTATTCAAAATGTACTCAAGCCACATCATCCCTCTGCCCAAAACCTTGTTTGTAATGGTTACCGTTTTAACCAGCGGAGGGCCAAAATCCTTATGGCAGTCTGCACCGCTGCTCCCCACACCACTCTGACCTCATATCCTGCCATTCGTCCTCTGGTCAAACTCCTCCACCACTCAGGCCTCCCACCTGTTTCTTACACGACCATCTTCGCCTCTGGGCCTTGGCTCTAGCTTTTCCGCATGCTGGGAATGCTCTTCCTCCAGGTAGCCACATCGCTCACTCCCTCGCCTCCTTCCTGGCTTTGTTCAAACCCATTCTGTTTGGCCCAGTGCCCATCCTAATACCGCAACCCTCCCCGTACGCTCCTATCCCTGCTCTACTTTTTTCCTCGTAGCATCTGCCATCTGCTAACACAACTATGTAATTCATTTGCTCTTTATCTGCACTTCCCTCCCCCGCCCCAACAGCATGTCAACTCCACTGGACGGGGGTCCTTCTGTCTTGTTCACTGCTGTTTCCCAAGAACCTAAAACAGTGCGTCGCGCACAGTGGGCGTTCAACATGTAATCGTGGGGCTAAATCAGTAATTTGGAAAGCTCAATCCCCTAATGAACACTGGGGCTGTTTTCAACTAACAACCACCACTGACTTAGCGCCCACCTCGCGCCTGGCCCATGCCGGGTGCTCCGTACACGGCCGGTGGTCCCGCTCAGTCCTCGCAGTTACCCCCTGCGTTCCACACCGTACACCGCGCTGTACAAAGGCGGCCGGAAATCCCCGGCCGGAGCCGACAGGCACCTCGAGCCGATCTGCACCACCCGGTCCGTGGCTTCCGCCTGGCGCATGCGCAGCCAGCGAGCGCGGCCGGCGACACCAGCGCGGTCGACTAAGACCGCTCCCGGAAAGTGGCCGCTCTCCTATGGGCTTCCGCCTACCCGCTCTCCGTCGGACTACCCTGACGCCTCCCCTGATTCTTGTTCGCTGCAAAAATCCACGAAGACTTGGGGCTCCCACGCAACGGCTAGAATCTGGACCCGGGAAACTCTGGGTACGCTTACATTTGGCCGCTCTCTGTCCACCCACCGGATGCAGGGCGCCCAGGCGGATATGACGTCACCACGCGGCGTTCTCCAAAAGACACCGGTGTGAATTCTGATCAGAAGTTTAGACCAGCGGCGTTCAGCGCCCTCTGGTGCCCCCTCCGGAGAAACTGTGTCTGCATAGGAGGGGGGTCTTTTTCGGCCTGGGAGAGTGCTTCATAGTCATTCATTTATTAATGCATTCATTCATTCACCAAATTTAGGTCTAGCATCTCCTCTGCTGAACATCTCCTATGTCAAGCACTCCCCAAGGACAGGACCTGCTCTCAGTGTGCCTTTTGGCTCCCAGCACACCTTAGGTGGTGTATCTGTGTTGGCATGAAAAGACCCAACTGGTCCTATTTCCAAATGTAAGCGAAGTTTCATCTATGCATTTTTTAAGTAAGTACTTGTTGGCCACCTATTAAGTACTAGGCACTCTTCTAGGTGCTGGGAACCCAGTGGCGAACAAGAAGATATGGTCCCTGTACTCATGGAACATATAGTGTGTATTTAATAATCATAATAATAGCAGCTAATATTTATCAAGTGCTTACTTTGTTAGGTACTGTGCAAAAAATTTTACGTATGTTATCTTGTGGAACTCTCACACAATCCTGAGGTAGCTATTGTTAAGATCATCCCTATTTTACAGAGGAGGAAATTGAAGCATAGAGAGGCTAAGTTGATTGCCCAAGGTTACACAGTAATAAGTGGTGAACATGCCGTCTCATTCTGGCCAGTGCTCTCCACAGTGCACCACATTACCACCAATTGAGGGGCTGGGATAGGAAGGAAACCTGAGTGTACGCCCCATGAGGATGGGACCTTGCTTGTGTTGGTGTTGGAGTGAGCAGGACTGAAGCCATGTTGGGACCTAAAGCTGTCTGGGCTGCGGGGGGTGGGGGGGGATTTTTTAAAGGACAGTTTTTTTTCTCTCCACTCTTGCTTCCCATTCCCTGATTTTCTTATCTCACTCGCTAAGTAGGAAAACAAGGCCAAGAAGCTAATTAGTACTTTGCAAAGCTAATAGTTCTTTCTTTGAGACTTGTAGAGTTTTGAGAAATGATCAAGGCCAAATGTCTGAAGCTGACCTTGGGTACAGTCAAGTACACTGGTGCAAATCAAAATCTTGCAAGGTCCTGAGATGACAGCTAAGATGAGAACAGAAACCAGATGAGGCCTTGGCAAGANAATGTAAATCTTTGAGATGGGATAGCCTACCATCTCCTTCAGCTGAATACATCTGCTTTTTCAACACCAACCGTTTGACTTCTGAGTTTTTTCTTTCCTTTTCCAGGGGGCGGGCAGCCGACCTGAGTCTGGTAACATTGGCTCACAAGTGCATTCAGGGAATGGCACCCAGTAGGCACTCAACACATTTTACTGAATGCATTAGTTCACAAATGGATGTGATGATTCTGCCTGGGTTGTGGGGCAAAGGGTTGCCTTGCATGGCCAAACCTGAGCCTAGTTCAGCGGGAACCTTCTCCCTCATTTCTTTTCTCAAAATCCTACTGTCTGCTATTTCCTGAAGCTTCGGTCCTTGACGTTGGCCATACTCTCCAGTTCTGTGGCTCCTGCTTTCCTTCCTTCTCCTCACCGAGGAAACAGGACTTGTTCCAGTTGGGGAAAGAGGCAGAAGAAATCAACACAGACCCCACAGACAGTGGCATTTTCTTTCTCAAGAGAGCTTGGAGTTTGGAAGCTGCCAGAATTTGCTTCAAATCCATCCTTTGCTACTTATCCAACTTCCTCATCTGTTACACGGAGAGATTATTAGCATCTACCTCACAGAGTTGTGAGGAAATAATAGTTGGTGGTGTAAAGTGTCGGGCCCCTAAGAAACACTCAGCAATGGGAGAGAGTCCCCCTAAGCCAGCTGCCTGGCAAACCCAT